GATTGATTTACAAATCAAATTAAATGCAAATTGTTATCGCATTTCATATGCAAAATATGCGCTGATTTTTTAGTATTATTAATGTTTTTAGTATATAAGCAATCTATATTAACTTGAGTTAATTATATTGTTTATTGTATTAAATGTAATTTAGTTATAATGATGTAATTAATTGTACAATTGACAGAGATCCAATATTTAATATGAGATTAATGTTTATTAGTAAACAGCAATTAATGTTAATTATATGTTAATCACTTTATCATAGTTTTAATTATGTCTCTAATTTGATTGTTTAAAACTAATATTAGCTAATTCATGAAATTAGCTAACAAGTTGTAATATAGTTGTAGTATATTTATGGAATTAATATATCTGTGATCAGCATAATTAAATATTACTTAAATGTTAATATGGTTTAAATTAAAGTTTTTAAATAAAAATTAACATTGTTTTTGACACCAAAACGTTTATGCTTTTCGGGACATATGGCGCCATCTGTTGTCAACATTAGGTAATATTTTATCATTTTAAATAAGTTTTATATAAATTACATTGTAAATTATTATGAAATATAGATGTTTTTAATGAACTTGGTAATACCAAAATTAAACTTTTTATTAATTCAATATTTATCTAAACTATTTATAAATTTTTAATTATGATTTTATATAAAGGATTTTGAAAATACATCAATTGATGGAAAAATTAAATTATAAAAAACATAAATTATAATTAACTAAATTATTAAACTATAATTAAGTCAAACGTCAAATCAAACACAAAAATTTCTAACCATTAAATCAAACTCACAATCAATCAAACACTAGTCACCCGTCTATTCAACGCTAAACCCCCGGCCATCCCGACAGCAGCCGCCCTGTGCTTATCGATCATCGCTATAATCAACCCTTTAATCGCCGGATGTATTAACAGATTATCGATCAGCGCTTTAGTGGTATCGCTCTCGTAGGCCAACACATCGCCGACCACTGAGCCCTTGTCCGTCGCCTTTCCACTGGCGGTAAACCAATGGCCAAACCATTTGCCAAAACCATTTGCCTGGCGTTTACTTTGGAAGTTCATCTCCCGGTCCTCCAACACTTTGGCCGCCCGGAGCCGCTCTAACCTCTCATCCAAACCACTCAACACATGCCTCACAGACAATGCAAACTCAAACCCTTTGCCGGCGCTCTGGAAAGCGAGTCCAGCTCTACAGTCACCGAACCTGACTTCATGTAGGCGTACGTCGAGCGCCCGGTGCTCGACATCGACGGTCAGTTGTCGTTCCCAAAGCACTCGGTGGAAGTTCTTGTCGTAAACTCGCAAATAATAGCCGCAACGGCGCCGGTCTTCGAGTAAGCAGAGGGCCGCCGGCCAGTGGACCGACCATTTGGTGGACAGTCGGGGCGCCCACACAAACACATCCAGAAATACCATCGATACGGGCCTACAGTAGGGCCCCAAGTGTTTAACCCACCGTTTAACGGCGGCCACTGTCACGTACGTCGGCGGACAGTCACCCGTATGTGTCCACCAATCCCTATGTTGGGCATCAGTTCCGGAACCGCTAGACAAGAGTTGCGATAATTGGCGTAACTATTCATTTAAACAAAATTGTCGTTAAAACTAAGCACACAATTAGTGTCCAAACAAATAGTATCTCTAACGTGATAGTCGACGGTGTGGTCGGGAATACCGGTCTCGACTACCGGTGCGGTGGGACTGGCTTTGTGTCCAACGACTTGGGCCACTGGTGTGCACTTCTTGGTGATGGACATGCGTTTCCAATCGAGCCGTGAAAATGTCTGTTCCCAACGGTTCAACTCTCGGGCCAACGATCGCGGTATTTGCTTATCATCGCCGCCACCGCCGCAGACATGGATACCATTGCCATCGACTTCTTCTTCAGCTGATGACTGTTTTTCAATAATCAAAATGTCTGTTAAATTAATATTAAAAATTTTACAATCGTTGACATACTCTTAGGGACGGGACGTATGTCAGCGATGACGAGTGATTGTCACTTCTGGCCACTGATGTCTCTTTTTTAACCATATCTGGGATCTGATTCGTTAACTCTTCGTCTAATATACCATTGAATATCTCGTCCACAATCTTGTCCATACTCTCGTCGTGTGTCTGATCTAACATCTGGTCGTTGTCCTCATCAGTCGACGACAGCGGACACGGATTCGTACAGATCTCTGCCGACGACCACTGTTTACGCTATCAAACGATCACAATATTTAGACAATCAATCAGACAATTAAATGATTCATCGCTTACTTTAACAGAAGTCTCTTCGCCATCACATCCGGTCAGTGATGTGTGTCTTAACGATAAATCAATGGGAATATTGGTGGTAGTGATGACCGCTTCCTCCTCTTTGTCGTTATCAGACACTTCTTCATATTCTTCCTCCTCTTTACCCGGCAATAAATGTTTCAGCTTTTTAGCCATTTTTGTGGACACCAATTGATCCGATGGTTTACTATCTGTGAGACAACACTTCCCGATGTCTCCGCCGGCAGACCACTCAACCAACGGCACAGACATTGGCTGAAATAACAAGACATTAATTAAACATTTTTTATAAATAATTGACAATACATTTCTTGTTTAATAATTACCATCATTTGTTTCGCTGTCGATGAACTGCCAGCCAGTGATATGTCAATAGATTTCGGATATACATCCACTTCTTTGCCGCCATTGCCATCATTTTCCGTAAATATTGCGATCTCTTTGGGAATTGTCGGAACAGAGCAGCCATTGTTTGCCAACTTATGCCGCGATTTGACCACAGATTTAGTAGCCATCAATTGGTCCAATACGGCCGCCGATGACAGTATCGCATCGGCGGTGCTGTAATCCACGCACTTCTCAATCACCTCATCCGGTATCTCATCGACGGTATCCAAACCGTAACATTGTTTAACTTTAGGCACGTTTCGAGTGACCAACTCTTCCGGCGTCGATATGTCGTGGGTTTGTATGAAATGTATGGCCGCAGACATCGCCTTCAAAGCCCTGTCCAACACTTCTTTATGCGATATCTCTTGCGCTGGTGTTGTTGTTGTTGTCACCAACGGTTCCGTTTGTGTCCAACTTTCAATCGTCCACTTCTGCCGCTTACTAGCGGTGGTCACCAATGATGGTATGTCTTGTTGGTCA